GGATGCAGTCACTCAAGCAAGCCACACAACAAACAACACACACCACAGGGGCAGTAATATGTTCGTGGCAATGCCGTGAGTGACACCACCGAGAGAGAAGGTGAGAACAAAGAAATGTGTTTTCATTACGTGGGCGGTGTGAGTAGCAACCCAAACTCACAACAGAGGGGCACACTCAAACACCCACAACCCATCAACCTTTATACCAAAATAAAAATGTAAAAAAAGAGTGACTGCACGAGGCAGACACAATAATAGAGCAAAGATGTAAAAAGAAAAAAAGAAATTCATTACTTAATGTGGCTGCGATGCCTGGACACAGTGCAACCCACCCCAAGGTTAACAACGGGAAATCATTGTGTACTGAACCTGCCGTTCCCATAACCTTTATTCTTGATGTCCGTGCAGCAGTTTGTATATAATGAAAAAAAGAATCATTCCATAAAAATGAACACACAAGATACACAAAGTGTATCGGAAACGCAAAAGAAAAACACACAGATGCACATAACGTGCAATGAAATTATAATGGAACACACACACAGAAGGGAAAAACAATAGAATGAAAACAAAACAAAAAGAAGGCCGTGATCACCAAGTGAATATCTTCAGGAGGCAACCAACACAATTCCCTGCAGTAGGTGTGTGTGTCTTTCGTACAGGGCGAGCAGTGGGAATAATGCACACATGATGACAGTCCATACACACACAAAGAGAAGGACGGTTGGTAGTGTGCGTGTTTGTGTGTCTTGAACCTCCTGCCATTCTTCACATTTCATTCACAGCAATTAAAACACATCGGAATTGTATCTCATTCCCATGGGTGAAAGCAATAGTTATTAATATCACGGAACACATACACACACTTCACCAGGAGGGCACAGTAAATGGTGGCAAAACAGAGACCAGTCAATAATGCCAACAAACAAACAAAGAGGACACTCCCTTACATAATAATGGTTTGTCATGTGTTGAGTACCATAGGGAGTCCAATAGATGTGTTCAGTAAAAAATGCAAACATGAGATTTATCGAACCGAAAAAAAACAGTAAAATCCAATAAAAAGAACAGTGCCCTTACAATGCATCCATATCCACTCAAATAAAGGTTAACTGCGCGGCTGTGTCATGGGAACGCCGATTAACAAACGAGAGTGCAACCCAGCACAGACAACAGAAGCAACAGTAAAGGACTGTGCACCAATGCAGGGCTGTGGCTGCCGTCCCCCTTTTTCTTGGCGTTTTTGGCCTTCTTCTCAACCACCCTCTTCACTTCTTCTCTCCTGGGCTTTTCTGCTGCTCTTCTCTTCTCCTCCTCACGGGCTCTCTGCTCCCTTTCTTTGGCCTCCCTCTCTTGCTCCTCCCTGGCTTTCTTCTCCTTTTCTTCCCTGGCTTTTTTCTCCTCTACTTCCCTGACCTTCCTCGCTCGTTCTTCTTCTTCCCTGGCCCTTCGCGCACTCTCCTGTTCTTCTCTTTCTTTCTTATCCCTTTCTGCAGCCAACTTTTTCTCCAAGGCCACCTCCTTCACTGCTCTCTCCAAATCCCCCTTAAATTCTTTAATATCCCCCTGGATTTCTCTGGGACGAATTAAATTGGCAGGTGAGCCTCCGCCACCTCCGTAGTGCCTAACACCACCCTCCCCAATACCACTTTCGTCCTCATTCTTCACGACCACCTTTCTCGCTCCAAACTTGGCTTGATCCTTCATGTCCTGCTCCACCTGTGTTTTATTTTCCTCATCCCTGGGACCAGACACTTCAACCCACTTGGCTTCTTCTTCCTCCCCGAGCCTCGCCCCCCCATGGTGCGTGAGCAACCTAACCAGTTTTTGCACCCCGTCCCTCACATCCCTCCAATCGTGGTCTCTGAACGTTCCGCATCGACGAATGTCTCCGGCCTGATTGCTGACATTATGCGTGAGGTTGGACGCCATGTAGTACAACTCGTAACTGGAATGGAGATATTCCCTGGCCTTCTCCACATCGTCAGCATACGACATCTCGTTCTCGTAGTATTGTAGACTTTGCGGGAACCTCATCACGTGGGGTGCCAGGTTGTCCGCGTATACCGCACACATTCTCCCCCTTACCTTCGTCTTATTAACTGGTCCACTACAACCGCGGGCGGCATTACCGGCCTCAGGTACCAATTTCTTGGCCTGTTCCACCAACTCAACGATCGGTCCACTTACATCTTGTTGGATAATTTTTTCTTTTTTCGCCCCGACATCCTCCCCCACCCGGGCACTGGGGTCCTTCTCGATTCGCTCGACAATAGACCTGACTTTCGGCGCAATCTTTTTGACTTCCTCGCACTTCTGCAAACACTTCGGCAGTTCGGTCACCCACAAATGCAAGCACGCCTCCACCCCAGGAACGAATTGTTCCGTGTGGTTTACTGACTTTTGTACCGCCTTCTCTGCTTCCAAAAAATCGTCACGATCAGCAAGAACTTGGGTTACGCACACACAGCACTGCAGAAGTACCATCAAATACATCACACCACGCAGTTGGACGAACATCGTTGTCATGAATGTCACTGTGAGTTGCTTGGATCTATAGTACCAAAGAGGAAGCGAATAAGAGGGTGAAGAAAAAAGTAAACGCACATTTAACACACACAAGGCAGTGGGTACACAGCACTCAACAACACAGAGAGAGAGTAACATCACAACAGCAATCAAACACAACCCAATGAGGGAGCAACAGTAAACCACTCACACAATAAAACACACCCAGAGTTACACAGATATTGAAACAACACCTTGAAGTTAGAAGAAGTGGAAAACAAATGGTATCAAAACAATATTAAATAAACGTCTCTATACACACACTCCCCAATATCTTACTCGGTATTCATACACACAATGTGTCTGTATTCTCATTATAATAAAACCATTACCAGGCAGTTTGAACACCAAAATACACCAAAAACACAGTGTACGACTGGCAACATACAAAAACAATACTACAAAACATCAGCAAAACAAAGAGACCGTACAATAATCAACACACTTCCAAACAGAAAAAAAGAAAAGAAACCAATGCATCACCATAATATATTTATACCAACACCACAATTGGAAACTAAAACCCACTCACCCACAACCATAACAAAAATGACTGCATACATCACTGTAATACCATGCCACTCTTTACAAACAGAGGCAACACACAATTACTCTCTCTCACACACACACATTACATCTTTATTTATCCTTATTATTATTATTTTATTTTTTCCTCAGAATGCCGGTTCCCGCCTCTTCTTCTCCCACAGCATTATCAGCAAAAAAAAAATCACATCCACCCAATAACATTCGTCCTTTACTCCATGGTGTGTATTAGGAGGGTACGATCCAACATATCCCCTTTCCACCCCTCCACCCATGAATGGACCCCACACCACACCACCACGTTTTTCTCTTTGTTCTGCGTGTTTTTATGGATATTACTCCAATGGTACGGCTATCGGCTGTCCACAATACAGCACTTTAATTTCAGACTTACGAGTGGCTCTGAAGAAGATCCCTTTATTTTATGGGATCCTCAAGCTCTTGTAATATGATTTTTTGTTGCAGCCCTTTTCCCATACGAGAGAACCAGTCTACAAGAAATCTGATCGAGTAAACCCTACCAGATCTCTCTACTCTCACTGTTCTTACCCAAAACCCATCCTCAAGTCTTCTTTTTGTTATTATTTTTTTTTTTGATTGGCCTCAATGAACTCCTATTTATTGTGTTGCTTGTTGGGTCGGCGACAGACGTCTTGAGCTTACTCTTCTATCAAGGTTTCCATATTCGAGCTCGTCGCTGATTTTAGAGAGGTGGGGAGGCCTTACAGAGGGGGAGGTAGGCTGTGTAGGGTTTCTCTTGGTTGTGAAAACTGTGGCATAGCGTAGTTCCGCTCCACCGCAATAAGGAACTGTGCTAACTGTTTAGAAAAACATGGTTTCATCAGGGGTACATCATCAACTATCGCAAATTGAACTCGCAGTGGATGAAGAGCAGGGCAACTCAAAAGATGCAGAGCTGTTTCGTCGCATTCGTCGCGTTGGCTGGTGTGCGCGCGAATAGGTTGATACCCGTGTCGTGACATTCGGTGTAGAGTTAGGCCTGACTTACCCATATATTGACGACCTCATGAGGGACAGACTAACGCCGGTAGGTCTCTTGTTTTCGTTGTTTTGTATTTCCCATTGGTGGAATTCGATTTTTTGGGCAGACCCTCTCCTTCATGGAATTTTCTGCAGTGTATTACGAGGGAGTCTAGGTGGGCGTAGAACTTCTGGCATACTCCGCATTGGACTTTCTCTCTCTTCTCACACTCCGGTGGCGACGAATTTCGCTGGCGTTTTTGATTGCGCGGAAACGTTACTTGTATTGTTGCTGGCAGAATTGGAGTTCCAGGAGGATGTTTAAACTTTTGTGGCAGGCGAGACCACCAATGTTGCCAAAGTCGCGGAGGCAGAATTCGCAGCGTAGTGAAGCAGGCTGTGGGATGAGCTGAGGGCGAGGTGCGTCTATTTGGGGGTTCTCAGGATGGATCGCTCTAATATGGGCTTTGAGACCTGTTTTAGATCGCGCTATCATATCACATTTGTCACAGAGGGATGCTGATCCTTCTGGTGGTATCGGTTCGTCGGCTGGCGGGCGTTTTCTCTCTGGGAGAGGGCATGTGGCATTGTGCATGTATCTAAGGTGGCGCGTTAATCCATTTTGAAGCGGAAATGTTCGTTTACACATACTGCAGGCAAACGGATGGAGTTTTGCTTTAGGCGAAGTGGTCTGGGGTAACGTTGTGTCCGGAGGTGGGGGTTGTGAAGGTGGCGGAGGTGGCTCATGGGGGAATTTGATCTTCCAGAGCGCATCGGCTCTCTTGAACCCATGTGTTTGTTGACCATATGTTGTACTGCGGTGTTCCTGCATGAGTATTGTGCCCCGCATTCAGTGCAGGTGGCGGGGTCTGTTGCTTTGTTTAGTGCATAGCGCGGTCTTTTCGGGCTAGATGGAATAACGGGTGTCGGCGTACTGACTTTTTGGGGATTACACCATCGACAACCAGGGGGAATATGGGTTTGTATCTTTCGCAGCAACCAGCCATAGCGATGCGAAGCACCTGCGCGAAAAAAACGGGCTAAGGCTGTTTCTTCTTCTCTAGCGAGTTCTGGGTTATCTTTGGTGGGGTCACAGGATCCAGTGATTTTTGATCTATGGGAGGGATGGGGTGTATCCTCTCCCTTAAGTATTCGTTTAGCGTAGGCTATTATATCGGTGATCCAAGTATCAGTTCTTTGTGGTAGTTCTGCAGCTCTTTTGGCTTCTGTGTCGCATTTTTCATTTTTCACTACACCGCAGTGACCAAAGATAAATTGTAGTCGTATGCGGGCCTTGCGACGTTGCACTTGAAGGATTAGGTTCCACAGGAGCCGTAGTAATGGGTCCTTTACGGTCAGTGGGCCTGTTTCTAGTGCCGTGGGAAGAGACAGTGAGTCCGTGAAAATGGAAACCCTGCATGGCGTTTGGTTATTTGCAGGAATTATTTTGAGGAGTCTCTGTAAACAAACCTTCGTATGGCGCTGCGGATTCAGTTGTGTAGCTGCAAGCTAGGGGACCAGCGCCTCTATGTGTGGTACAGATCAGTTCACCATCTTTGTATATCATTGCTGCTGCTCCAGATTTTACTCCGAGGAAGACGGAGCCATCAGTCCAGATTTCATAATGGGTACGCGGCGG